AGAAACTTTAGCTCACATTTTGACACGTTCTTGCAACCTCTACTATGGCAAAGATATCCAGCAAACAGTCATATTTATGTTGGTGATTAAAATAATGCTAAACATATAATAACATTCAAGATATAAACAATTGTAGTACAGATATTAATCAATCTCAAACAGTCATATTTATCGGGGGATTAAAATAATGCTAAACATGTAATACATTCAAGATATAAACAAATTTTGTACAGATATAATTAATCAATCTTTCAGAATGTTAAAATGGAAGGAGATAGGGTAGAAGAAATTAATTAACTGTATATTGTTGGAGATATTTATTAAAAAAATTAGTAAAAAGTAGGACAAAAAGGACACTCTTAATTATATACCTCCCAAGGAAGTATCTGTATTGTAGGAGAACACCGGAGTCCTCCTGTTGGACAAGTCCCTCTTCCTCAAGAAATTGTGTCTTATAATATCTCGCCGATGCTCCACATTACACCTCACATCCTGCCATATTTCACCGACAAAGGATTGATCATCATTTTCAGCAGTGGCAGCAATTACTGGATGATCTAGATTTGCAGGCACTGGGGACATAGTGAGTCCTGCAGAATTCTGTTGCATATCCGGGGGTACAGGATAACCATTATGAAGCATCCATCTGATGGGAAGCTCTTTATAAGTTAAACCCGAACTTGTGCTTGGTTTAATTAACCCCTCCAAAACATCTATGAAGTAGTCTGGAGGATTAACACGCTCTGGGACATCAATCCCAAGTCCTGCAAAGTATGCTTCAACTTTCCTTACTGATCCATGGTATACAGTGAGACCACCTTTTGCCAGAAGAATCAAATCATCAAACATGTTGAACAAGGTGTAGCTGAAACAGAAAATTTACCACTATTTAATTGATAGAACAAAGTAAATATAATGAGTTTACAATTCACTATTTTATGGGGTCTCGTTCAACATTTAATTAGGATTGTAGCCCCTATTTATTGTTTATGCCACCTCAGTTTATGCAAGAGTCAACCTTTCCAGCATATGAAGTAACTTAATAGATCCCTCGATGTTGCAACATTGGAAGCATTAACAACACTAAAGATGACTATCACAATCCTTGTATACAAGCATAAAATCACAAAGTTACAATTACATGCATAAGCTTATGTTGTTGACATAAGCTTCAATTCATTATTTTATGGGGTCTCATTCAACATTTAATTAGGATTGTAGCCCCTATGTATTGTTTATGCCACCTCAGTTTAAGCAAGAGTCAACCTTTCCAGCATATGAAGTAATTTAATAGATCCCTTGATGTTGTAACATTGGTAGCATTAACAACACTAAAGATGACTGTTAAGAATATTAGGGTAGTATATGTAAATTGTTAATAGTAAGAGGGTGTATGTGTAATTCTTATTATTGAGAGTTAACTATAAATATAAGTGTTGTATGAGAGCTAGGTTATGTTGTTAATCTCTCTCTTTCTCCCTAAATATATCTCTAATATTGTATTAATCTTCCAAACTTAACATGGTATCAGAGCAATTACGATCATAAATATATATTCTGAATAAATTTTGTTTGTAGAGGTGTTACTGTTGCTACTGTTGTGGTGGTGTTGGTACTGTCGTGGTGGTGTTGTAGCATCGTGGTGGTGGTGCTACTGTTGTGGTGTTGATACTGGCTGTGGTGGTACTGTGTTTGCCGCAGTTTGGTGTGTGTTGGTGGTGGTCCTGTGTTTGCCGACGTTCGGTTTGTGTTGTTTGTGGTCAGTTGTGGTGTTGTTCAGTCGACGAGCTTAGTGGTGGTGGCGTGGCTGTTGAGGCGCAGTCAGCACAGAAGAGGGTTTTTTGCAACCCTAACCAACAAAGAAGAAACAGCCCAGACCCGATCCACTTCGGGTCAACCCAAATCTGATCCAACCCCAGTTGGTTTTGGTTCAGCCCAATTTCAGTGGTTCAGACCGGTTCAGACAATTTTATTTGGGTTCAGAGGTTTAGCGAGAAAAACTAACCCGGTTCAGTGATCCATCAAGCCAAACCAGCCCGGTTCAGTGATCCAGCACGCCAAACCGGCCCGATTCAGTGCTCCAGCCCGGTTTAGTGATCCAACAAGTCAAACCGGCCCGGTTTAGCGGTCCAACTAGCTTTTCTAGCCCGGTTCAGTGATCCAGTAGCCTTTTCTGGTCCGGTTCAATAGTCCAGTACCCTTTTTTGGTCCGGTTCAGCGGTCTAGTGTACTTATTAGATCCGGTTCAACGTTCCAGTAAGATTCTCCAGCCCGGTTTGGTGATCCAGCAATCTTTTCCTCTTCGGTTCAGCAGTGTAGTAGGTGATTCTTGTCCGATTCAGTGATCTAGTGATTTTCTTTTTCTATTTGCTACACTTATGAAACCCAAGCAAGATACTGAGTTGGTTACTATTACACGAGAAGAGTATGTTTAGTTCTTGTCCCAGCAACAAGCTGTCCCATCTCCCCTCTACTACTACTTTTGCCCAGTCAGGTATTACTTCCACTTATTTATTGTCCTCCACTCGTAGTCCCTGGATCATAGACTCTGGCGCTTCTGACCACATGACTGGTTCATCTGATGTTTTTTCTACTTATCAGTCTATTACTTCCACACGTAGTGTTACTCTTGCTAATGGTACTTGTTCTAAAGTTTCAAGTCTGGGTACTACTCACTTGAGTCCTGATATGTCCCTATCTTCCGTGTTATTTGTTCCTCAGTTTCCTTTTAGTTTACTTTCCATAAGTAAGATTACTCATTCTCTAAATTGTTTCGTAACCTTTTATCCCTCTTATTGTGTCTTTCAGGATCTCAAGACGAAGAGGAAGATTGGTACGGGACATGAAACTGATGGCCTATATTACCTTGACTTTGATTCACCCACCCAGGCCCTACAGACCTCGTTGTCTCCTTTTCAATGGCATTGTCGTCTTAGACATCCCTCTCTCCAGAATCTAAAGCGCCAAGTTCCTAGCCTTAGCTATGTGTCGTCTTTGCCTTGTGAAGCTTGTCAACTTAATAAGCATCACCGTATGTCTTTTCAATCTAGAGTCAATAATCGTGTGTCTAGTCTATTTGAGTTAGTACATTCTGATGTATGGGGTCCCATAAAGAATATTTCATCTAATAAATACCCTTATTTTGTGAAATTTGTGGATAACTATTCTCGTGTGACTTGGTTGTTTTTATGAAAGCTCGGTCTGAATTGTTCTCTATATTTGAGACCTTTCGTAAGGAAATAAAAACTCAGTATGGTTGTCGTATACGTATTTTACATTCCGATAATGCTCGGGAATATGAATCTGATCATTTTTCAGCTTATTTTAGTAAAATTGGCATTATTTATCAGATTTTTTGTGCTTGCACCTCTCCACAGAATGGTATTGCTGAACGCAAGAATCGTCATTTGTTGGAAGTCTCTCGTACCCTGTTATTCCAGATGAATATTCCCCGATATTTTTGGAGTGATGTTGTTCCTACTGCTTGTCACCTTATTAATCGTATGTCATCCTCTGCATTAAATGGCAAAGCCCATATTCTGTTCTTTTTCCTGGTAAGCCCTTATTTTTCCCGACTCCTAAGGTTTTTGGATGTGTCTGTTATGTTCACAATTTGGGTCCTGAATTCGACAAACTTGACCCTCGAGCTACCAAATGTGAATTTCTTGGTTACTCCCGCACGCAGAAGGGGTATCGTTGCTACAGTCCTTCTCTAAACCGATACTTTACTAGTGCCGATGTCACGTTTGAGGAATCTATTCCATATTTTCCAGCACCTTCTCAGCCTTCGGATCTAGACTTTGGGTCATCTCCCATACCATCATCTCTTTCCTCATCTTCAGATATTCCGCTGCCTACTGTGTTACCATCTACTTTACCTCTCCGTGTCTACTCTCGCCGTCCTCGCCCATCGACTGAGGTGCCCGTACGGTCTTCCTTGCCGCCTTTTGATCCTGGTACATCAGGTAATTTAGACTCTTTACCTATTGCTCTTCGGAAAGGTACTCGTTCGTGTGTTACTAATCATCCCATTGCTCATTTTATTTCATATGATGCCTTGTCTCTTGCCTTCTCTTATTTTACTTCCAAATTATCTACTATATCTATTCCTAAGCATTTACAGGATGCATTATCTGATCCGGGTTGGAAGAAAACTATAGAGGAGGAGATGGATGTCTTACATCATAACGGGACTTGGGATCTCGTTCCTTTACCTCCTGGTAAACGAATTGTTAGTTGTCGTTGGATGTATGCTGTTAAATTTCATCCGGATGGTTCTGTGGAGCGTCTCAAAGGCAGACTTGTTGCAAAGGGCTTTACTCAGACTTATGGTATTGATTATGAGGAGACTTTCTCTCCTATTGCCAAAATTTATTCAATTCGTATCTTGATTTCTTTGGCTGCTAATCTTGATTGGTTCTTGTTTCAGTTAGATGTCAAGAATGCCTTCCTACATAGTGACTTGGTTGAAGAGATATATATGAAGCAGCCACCTAGATTTACTGCTCAGGGGGAGTATGGTAAGAGTGTATGTTGGTTAAAGAAATCTTTGTATGGTTTGAAGCAGTCACCAAGGGCAGGGTTTGGTAAGTTTTCAGATGCAGTTTTAGAGTTTAGTCTTCTTCGATGTCAGACAGATCATTCTGTGTTTCATAGACGGACAGATGCTGGATATGTTCTATTGGTGGTCTATTTAGATGATATTGTGATTACTGGAAATGATTCTGAGGGGATTGCCAAGTTAAAAATATTCTTGCAGGATCGATTTCATACTAAGGATTTGGAAAAACTCAAGTATTTCTCGAGTATTGAGGTGGCTCGATCTAAACAGAGTATTTGTTTATCCCAGAGGAAATATGTACTTGACATGCTAGAAAAAGCAGGTTTGCTGGGTGGCAGACCTATTAATGTTCCTATGAATCCGAATCAAAAACTTTTGATGGATGATGGTGCACTGTTTGAGAATCCGGGTCGGTATCGCAGATTGGTTGGGAAGCTCAATTATCTCACTATTACTCGACCGGATATTTCCTATGCAGTCAGTATAGTAAGTCAGTTCATGGGGTATTCTAGAGTACCACATTAGGAAGTAGTAACTCGTATTCTGCGATATCTCAAACAAACTCCTAGACTTTGACTGTTATATCGAGGTAATGGACATCTTAGAGTGGAAGGTTTCTCAGATACTAATTGGGTTGGCTCTCCTTCTGATCGGAGATCAACCACTAGTTATTGTACTTTCTTAGGAGGTAATGTTGTCTCATGGAAGAGTAAGAAACAATCTGTGGTAGCAAGATCCAGTGCTGAGACCGAGTATAGGGCAATGACACATACAACGAGTGAGTTGACTTGGCTACTACACTTACTTCAGGAAATTGGGTTTCCAGTTCAACTTCCTTTACAGTTGTTCTGTGACAACCATGCAGCTATCCATATCGCTGTCAATCTGGTGTTTCACGAGAGCACCAAGCATATTGAAGTTGATTGTCACTTTATTCGGGACAAGATAGCAATTGGGGAGATTACAACTCCATTTGTGAAATCTAAAGATCAGCTTGCAGATATATTTACCAAAGCATTGAGTCGTACACGTCTTACAGTGATTTGTTCCAAACTTAGATTATATGATATATATAATCCAGCTTGAGGGGGAGTGTTAAGAATATTAGGGTAGTATATGTAAATTATTAATAGTAAGAGGGTGTATGTATAATTCTTATTATTGTGAGTTAACTATAAATATAAGTGTTGTATGAGAGCTAAGTTATGTTGTTAAGCTCTCTCTTTCTCCCTAAATATTGTCTCTAATATTGTGTTAATCTTCCAAACTTAACAATGACTATCACAATCCTTGTATATAAGCATAAAATCACAAAGTTACAATCGCTAAAGGAGCATAGATTTCATATACACGAACTAAATACATGAACCTCATCCAAGCAAACCTTTCAGATTGAATGGTTTACCAGGTTATACATGGAGATAACATGGAGATAAAACTTCCAGGAACCAAAAAGAATATGAAAAAGAACAGAGCCCCCCGAATGCAGTCTTGTGATAGTGATAAATACCTCGGTTGGTGGACAACCATGCAGATGTTCACCCCTTCAAGAGCTTCACGTCGAAGTGCTCTCAATAGTAGCTGAGAAGAAGAACTGTCCAAACCAGATGTGGGTTCATCTAAGATCAGAAGTGAAGGTTCCATCACCAGTTCCAGCCCAACATTCACCCGCTTTCTCTGGCCCCCAGAAATTCCTCGCTTCTCTACTGTTCCAACCAAGGAACCCCGCACTGCCTGCAACCCCAAGGACTCAATAACTCTTTCAAGAATGAGAACCTTATCTGGCTTTGGCAGGTCTGCGGATAATCTTCAATTATTAAAACAATGAAAAGCAGTCAGTAGACAAAAGATGTACGGCAGTGATTGGATGATGTAGACAAAAATAAACATATTGAGCACCGAGGATGGACTAAATTAACATTGGAGATTCCCAAAATGTCTATTCATATTACACTTCAATTTTTGGGCAGCTTCCCTTCAATTTTGTTTTTGTTATCTTGAATCAATCAAATAGTAGGACGAGTAGATTGATGCGGATGTGGCCTGGATAAAGTGACAGTAGAAGAAATGATAGGATAAACTATACATTTGAGAATGATAGTGCAGCAGCAACTAAATAAAGTGTGGGAGAAGGTTTTCACAGATGCTTTGATTTTACAAAATGAAGAGCCATGATTCGATTTGTATGCATTACTACAACAAATAGAAATTCATGGACTAAAGTGGTGAAGCAAGACATGGCATCCAAGGCAAAGTAGGGTTCACACTATCAATCCCAACAAATCCACATTTTAATCTTTGTTAAAAAAAAAAAAAAATTAGCGGAATCCCCAATTTTAGAAAGAAGCTCAAAAGAATCACAATTTAAGCAAGTTCGAAAGGGCATATTGACCTGCCATCTCAATAGAAACGAATCACACCCATGCGGCACCACACAGAAGAGCAGCTTAAAGCAGCACTCTGCAACCCAGACACATTGAGCTAGGACAGCCTGGGGTTGATTTCCTTCCAATGCCAACACGCAAAAGGTTGGTGAGGAGTCTCCAAGCCCTGTGTCCTGATGAAGGCCAGGGCCTCCCAAAGGGTCACATGTCATATAGCCAACTTTGGGCATGCCCACTGTCTTAGGCTTGAATGGTCAAGCTGCCAAAGATTAAGCCAAATATCGAACCTCTGAGGGAAACTTTGCACGTCCTATCCACCTTTAAGTGGGTCTATATGCCCCTCTACCTTTAGACCAAGATCAGGGTCCAGGACTGCTCTATGGTGTTAGGTTCCAATGCTAGGATAGTCTTGCCCTAGGGTAATAAGCAGTCATAGTTTAAGGTTGTGGTATTCGCCGTCGACTCGGATAGCAATTGACCGTGGCGCATTATTGGACAATACAACCTAAAAGAAAAAGTTGAATATGGTGATAAATTCAGTCCATGTCGTAGCGTCGCGGAACGATGTCAGCCAATTCGGTGACAAGTAATTAACATTTCCAGTTTTGCTGGGTAAACTGAAAGGGTATGGATAAGCACTCTCAATAGTGTTGGTGGTGAATAACATAGAACTAGGGATGACAGTGGACCGAAGCGGGGGCGGAGGGTGTAGTCTTCATCCCTCTACCTGCTTAAAAAAACTCTGTCCATTCCCGATCCACCCCCGTTAATAGGTATAGTTTTCATCCCCATCCCCATCTCCATCTCCGTCCGCGGGTAAATTTGTTTCCCACCCCGTCCCCCGCTTCACCCCCGCTCAATCCACCTTGCCCACCTCAACCCAAGCCCAAGCCCAAGCCAACATAATCCAAAATTCAAAATAAATCTAACATTCTAAATAATCCAATATAATTATAGAATATCATAACATCATTAAAAACTTGTCATCTACATCATAATCCAAAATAATATAATTAAAACCTTATCAACAACATAATCCAACATAATATAATTAAATACTTGTCTTCCATGTAAATCTAACACAGCATCATGTAATACAACATAATGTAACATAACATAATCCAACATAAAAAAAAAAAACATAAAAACACAAAGATTTACACTTTTACAAACCAAAAACATGAAAAAAAAATCAAAAAACAAAACAATTTCTTAAATAAAAAATCATTCAATAATATGTAGATTTATATTCACAGCAACATATATATATATATATATATATATATATATATATATATATATATATATATATATATATATATATATATATATATATATATATGTATTAACAACAATAAAGGATAAAGAAGAGAGGGGCGAGGCGGGAGTAAGTGTCAGTTCATCCCCGCATGGGATTATACGGGTATATGTCCACCGTCCAGTACGTATGGTTTATTCTTGGTCTAAACAGCGCGAGTTTGGACGAATACCCATTTTTACCCGTCCATTGCCATCCCTACATAGAACCACCACATTGATAGACAAAATCAAGTTGTCAAAACATGCATCGGAATAAGTATCATTTTTCAAAAATAATGTATTGTGTATCATAAGATACGCGCAATTTAAAAAATTTGCATACCTGCCCCCCCTTCTGTTTAAAATATGTAAATATGTATTGTTTAAAGTAATATAAATATCATTTCAACTCACTCATCATTTCATTTGATGTGTGTGTCCAATAGAGATCAAAAAAAGATAATTGTTTGTCTTCATAATACAAAGATCAAAATATAGTTATGATTTTATCTGTTTGAATAAGAAGAAAAAAAATAACATGCAAGAGAAACAAAAGATGGTCTCATGACAAGTAGATGATCGAGAGTTTCTTTTATTTGAGATCAAACCCAAAAATAAAATAACACATAGAACAACAATGTTTCACTATTTATTGTAAAAAAAATCATTGTGAAAACGGCGTCACTTTATATTGCGCGAATTGTTTTCTCATTCTATCGAAACATATCTTACAGTATGTATTGCATATCGCAAGATATGGTGAAAAATGATATAATTCGTAAGATACGTATCATTTGGGTATAGTATCGAGACGTATCGTAAGATACATATCGCGTAGACAACTATGGGCAAAATTATTCGGTTCACAATTTTGAGGCCAAAAATAAAATTTATATCAAATTTAAGAACAACCGAGGATGATTACCATCCCATGCTTGTTATATACAGCTTGATATTACCTTTAGACTCTGCATCTAAAACAGCAATTACATTAGGGCTATGAGGTGAGACAACCAGCATGATGAAATTCAACAATTACTCACACCTAACATGTTTTTCTACACGCTACGAATCTCACAATACTAATTGACTAATTTGAACAATGAATTTAACTTTGAAGGAATTAAAATATATTGCATGTAAAGATGCTAAAAAACAACATTCATACCTGCACCTTGCACTGAACCAGAGATTCTCCTCCACAGTCAAATTTCCGTGCACAACATCATCTTGTGGCACAAAACCAATGATTCTCTTATATGAATGGATTGAGTCTGTCTTTCCATTTATGAAAATGGAACCAGTTAGTGTGCATCCAACTGCTTTTCCTGCAAGAGCAGAAAGAAAAGTTGTTTTCCCAGCCCCCGATGGACCCATCACAGCAGTAATGTGGCCAGGCATGATCTTCCCAGTAACACACCTCAAAAGATGTTTCTTCTTTCCTTTCAAAGTAAGGGTTAGGTCTCGGAAAGAGACCTCAATCACAGGCCTTTTCCGGATTTCATTATTTGTTGCCAACGAAATCACTCCTGAGAAGGTAAGATTCTTGTTCTGCTGCTCCCGAGCTTTCTCTTTCTCAATTTGTGCATATGCATACTTGAAAATCTGACTATGAGTATGAATTTGTTTTTCCTTTGGCATTTTCTTTTTGGTATTTCTATCTTCAATTTCCAAGCTGAAATCTTCAGAAATATCAGGATCATCTTCAATTGCATGCATCATCTTCATAAGATCATTAGGCTCTGTATTCTTTGTTTTGGATGTAGTAGATGATTGCTGATATGTACCTGAACTGCTTGGGAGCATAGGTGGGTATAAGTCATCATCTCTTTCGCTTCTTGCTGGATTCAAGATTTTAAGTTGCTCAGAATGTGTAACAATTTTTTTACGAGAAAATGTGCGAGAAAATTGAGCTTGTAATCCAGATGCATGCTTCTTAGCAGCCTCTTTGGCAGCTTTCCACCTTTCACGTGCCTCTGTTTTCTCCCTAACACTTCTAGCAGCCGCTTCCCTGGATTTGGCATGTCTCCTTTCCCGTGTGCTGATAACTTGGTCAGAACAATTGTAAATAATGAGCAGAAGAGTACATAAAGCAGCCTGCAATAACAGGTGATATGCGCAATATCTATTAGCTGTGACTGCATGAAAAGAGCTAAAGGCATACTTCTTGCTATGTAGGTAGTATAAGACAGAACATGACATCAGATGGAATTCCAAGAGAATGCATACTGTATCAGCTATCATCTATACATTGATACTTCTAGTAACATAATTGTACACTTATTGCAAGCATCAAGATTAGACCAGTAACCTACAAGAAATATCGGAAACAAACACAACAGAAAATAGAATGAAACAGAAACAATAATGAGAACAACAATTTTGACCATGCATTTATCATTCTTATGATTCTGACCACTAAAGCTGCAAGTGCTTCTATTCTTCTGGTTGTCCCAACATAATCATATCCATTATTCAATATTCAATATTTTGAGTGTATCATTTTTCACATAGAATGTTTACTCATAGCATGAACTCGTGACTACCCTAGAATATCATAAAGGTAACATAATCATTTCAGTATTCAGAACAACTTACTATGAGCATTATTCCATATGCATGAATATTTTGATTTGCAGTGTTGGGATCGCATGAAGCCAACTTGAAACATCCTGAAAGTTTATCATTAATGTTAGATGCTTTGTGAAGACAGTAGTGCAGGGACCAAAACTCAAACATGGGCCACAGGAACATGACCAATGAAAACAGCAAGTGGTTAAATAAATGCATTTATTTTCCACTTTTACCAAAATAAGTTATGTTTCTTACGTTTCTCAGATGTAGAACCCGTACGGCAGTAATGCCTGAAATTATAAGAGAAAACCTACAGCATTAACAATGGCAGAAGGGCAAAAACAATTGCAAATACCATCAGATGTACAAGACTATAAGTTTCCTAGATATAAAATCATTTCTCAAAATCCTGATGTTATTATCAGTACATGGTATAACAAGTAAACCAGGTTGCAAGTCACAAAATGATACACAACCACTTAATAAGTGTTGGGATAAACCCTACCCATTGCTACAAGGAATTTTCTGTGTAGTGGTTGGACAGTAGGAACCTGCTGAACAGAATACCTCACTAGTACTGGCAAAATCCGCCCAAATGTTTGCCCCACCACACGTATGATTTGGATGTCCAGGAGGTAGTTGGTAGGTGTACCTGCAAAGGGCTATCAATGACTATGTTGTGCACACCATAGGTTATCGACAAAGATCGAAGAAGCATCATAATGATAATCAGAACTTACGGTTCACATACACCAGTAGCCTTATTGAGCGTTGCAAGTGGGCAGTAGGAACCCAATGGGCAAGCTTCAATAGCAAGATAACCAATGGCATCTCAGTAAATTATCAGACACATCTTCCATCTTATCCACAATCAACATATAAGTGCAAAGTTGCAATAGCATGTGTGTGAAAGAAGGAATGTATGACTTGCCACATGGAAAAAAATACATATGTCAATCACATGCTTACCAAGGTTTCCCTAGTTAAGAGTTGTGTCCGCACGCACAAACACGTGTTCAACTATTGGTACAGCCACATAAGTGTAGACCATGCTTGGTAACTCAAGGAACATAGTTCCAACATGAACTATAGTACATCCTACTACAACTGCCAAAGTACATCCTCTATTGGATGCAAAATGGAGTGATATGCCTATTATAGTGTGGAAGATGTCTAAGAATAACTTGAACAATGGGAAGGGAAGGTACACTATGTTACTTGAACTTGGACAATCATGCTTAGGTGCTAGTACATTTCTAGATGGCAGTTTATCTAATCTTCAGATCCTAAAACACAAGGATGAGCTAACTAGCACTTTGATTCACATTTTTCTTTTACTCCTTCAGAAGATGGTGTGTTCATGAGTGCTTAATATAGGCACTGGACTTGTTTTATTAGACATGTGCATGTAATGAAGGAATACAAATAAGAAAATAATGAAGGGCAAGCTTGTCTGGTGCACGTCTGACTAGGCAGATCAAAATCATATCCGATTTCCAGACATGTCATGATGTGTCCGACACAAGCATAATATTTAAATTGCGTATCGGAAGGCGGTTTTTCAAAAATAGTGTATCGTATCGTATTGTATATCGTAAGATACGCATAATTTTAATTTTTAAATAATTATTAATAAAATATATCTATATAATAAATCAGATAGGTGTTTGAACTTATGGGGGGTATATTGTTCTCCCCAAATTTCACACACCTAACACACGTTCCCCCCCCCCCCAAATTTCAAAAATCCAATACACACTTCACAACACACAGTTGCATATACATACACACATTTTAATGCATGCATAGTATAATAATTCAGTGTACAATGACTTTAGTAACGAGGTATCGCTAGTGTGTGTGTGTGTGTCTATATATACTTTTGTAAAAAAGTCATAAACTCATAATAACATAGCACTTCATTAATATTCTATCAACTATTTAAGTTCCCAACATAGTTCAATAATATCAAAACACAAAGACCTCTAATTCAAATTTCAAATATCAACTGCTTGAATAACGTTAATACTAATAAAAAATTTTGAATTCAATTGAACAACGTTAACAACAGACTTTATTTATTTTTGTTAAATTATAACCACTGAAACGATGTTCTTTCACTAGTTAGTGATTTAAAAATAAGTTGTAAGGTAAAACGATGTCATTTCAACCCTAAAAAAACTAAAAAAAAAAAATTAAAAAACAGAATTGTCATGTATCGTACGTATCGTATTGTATCGGACGTATCATATAGTGTATTATACGATACAGTACAAAAATAATACAGAGACATGATACATATCGTTTTTCAGGTGTATCGTGACATATCGTATAATACGTATCGCATATCGTACGATACTAATAACTATGGACACAAGTATTTCACACATTTAGAAGAGTGGAAGTAAGATAAAAGCAACTAAGGGATGCCTAATATATTTGTTGAACATATCCGAGAACAAAGTTGTTAGTATCGTACGATACGCGATACGTATCGTACGATACGTTACGATACAGCCCTAAAACGATACGGATCGTAGTTATGTATCGTTTTTGCGTTGTATCGTCCGATACACGATACGTTTTTACGATACGATACGTATCGGTACGATACGCACGATACGTGCAATTTTTTTTTTTTTAAAAACGACGTCGTTTTGTGCTCTGATTTTTTTTTTTAAAAAAACGACAAGTGAAGACTTGTTGGCATCCGATCACAATGATGATGATGATGATGCATTTTCAATTGAAATTGAAGATTGAGTTCAAAATGGATGTTAGAAATTTGGATTAGAAGTCTCTTTGGTGTTTAAAGTTTGAATTAGTGAACTATGGTTGTGAACTTTGCATTATAATAGTAGTGGATTATGTTGATAACTTGAATAGTTGGTGGAGTATTAATGAAATGCTATATTTTTTATGAGTGTATGACTTTTTTTCAAAGGTATATATATTTTTTTATTATTTATTTAAAATTGCATCGTATCTTACGATACACGATACGATACAATATTTGTATCTTACGATACGCCTTCCGATACACGATTTGATAACTATGTCCGAGAATAACATGACTTCTATGTCCATGTCAACCAATAGCTATTTAATTTTGTCCGAATGTTTTACAAATGAATGAAGTGGGTTTCAAAAAGAAGATAAATACAGGTTTTTATACATACACTTTTGATATGACAATGGGTTGTCGGGGATTCGAACCCAAAATTGATCGAATGGAGTAGGTAAACTTAAAGGGAGTCCCATTCATGTTTTAAAGATAACTCATTGCTTGGCCATAGTAGACGCTTATGAAGCACAGACACTCTCAAGAAGGCGACGTATTCGTGTCGGACACCAACAATCTTCAGACACTCTCGGACACGTGTTCGATACTCTTTTATCCGTATCCATAATTAAAGAAAAAAAATTAGTTTCAGACACGTGTCCGACACTTTGGTGACATGTCCGACACTTCTTTAGAACATGGCTACTACTAAACAATAAACATATGTTGAAATGTGATCAACAAAATTTAAAATTTTGAGAACATATAATCACTAATACTAGACATGTTAAAATTGTATTTCAAATATAATAATAAAACAAAAGATGCATAAAAATTTTAAAAAAGAGGAATTGAGAAAATGAGAGCAATTATTTAAATTATATATTAGGTACACATTGTCTACAAAAAATTGATGATTATTGACTATTATGATGATGATGTAGTCTAAAAATTTGCACAGATTACTACACATAAGATTTACTTATAATAAAATACTGGATCTTTTATGAATTGCATATCATTATCACTATATTTGCGATAAAATATATAATGTTATATATAAAATATAATTTTTTGTAGCATATTCCCAATGTGTCCATGTCTTATTTTTTTGAGAAATGTCGTGTCGTATCCGTATCTGTGCTTTTTAGGTAGACGCATAATTATCCCAAGTATGTTTCAGACTGATTCCAATCAGGAAAGAAATAAAAATAAATAAGTCTACCCCATACATTTCAGGAAAAAATTTCTCATGGTACACTTGTTGCCCAACAGTCCACCTCTGCTATCATTCTGTGGATTTTGAGAAGCCACAATGACATCTTTATCACCAAAATTACCTTACCATCAGGAATTTGATTGTTCGAGTTGATATTTTTTATTTTCTTAAATTCCGCTAATGAAAAATATGATTTTCTTCTTTTGAGAAGGCATTATTTATCATATCTTTGACATTCATTTGACGAGTTGAAGTATAGTTCTGTTTTGAGAAACAACCCTCACCCGTACTCCCCTGCACACCAATTTCAAAACTCACACACACATGTAGATTGTTGAAGCAAATATAAAAATAAAAAAAAATGATTGCAATTCTGCTTGATTCTTGAGAAGCATTAAATTCAGTCAGGCTTAACAACATGCAGTTAGCTCTGCAGCAAAGAACAGAAGATGAATAACAGTCACATTTCCATTCACATAGAATGCGGATTTTAATTTCATAAAAAGAGGGCTATAGTGCGATTCCTATCTGAAACACAAAGTTATAGAGGGGAACATAACACCTTAGGAAAAATTACAATGACTACTCTGAGAGATAAATATAAGGAACACAAAATGCATATAGTCAGGTCACCAACAAAGATAAAGGCATCTAAAACCAATTGCTGACATAAAGAAGAAAGCATGCATGGATTCTCAAATACTTACGTATCATGCAAGTAATACCATGAGGACAGAAAAAACCCTCACAGCAAGGCTGACAGTTGAGATTTCTAGCAGGTATGACCCTAGAGTTTTTGAGGTCAACCCCCTGGTTTGAGCCAGCACTACATGCCCAACCTGGTTCACAACCAGAAACCCAAGTGGTCAGATTACAATTTTTGTTAGGCTTTAGGTAATTGGTACTCTGTCCCTTCTCGAAGAAATTACTGAAGTAAAACTTAACCTCTGCTGCTGTACACAATCGCTGCGTAATATCTCCTGTTCAATGAATCGAAACCATCATGAGATGTGAATGGTTAGAAATTATAGCTGAAACAGACTTGTAGTATAATTCGCATAGGAGTTGAATCTCCGTATTTTGCCAAAGATTTTCAAGAGCCAGATTTGATATCAGTTTCAATTTGTTCTGGACTGTTACCACAAGAGAAAACCAGGGATGGTACCTACACTGGCAGCATATTCAGTAACATCCTGACAAAATCTTCGTAGATTTTGCCATAAAAACTAGAAAAATTCGAACCTCAAAAAAATGCCTCAACCCAATCCTAACTAAATCCTCATAAGAAAATAGAGACCAAGTGACCTTGTGCCAAGCCTAATATACAAGGTTTTGCCTTACAAAAAAATTCAAATCTAAAGACAATGCCCCTATCCAATCCTGGAAGGAAATCCATTTTGACTAAGTACAACTCGACAAAGCCTACGCCGGCTACTCATTCAGTTATATAAATATTGCTCCAACATAATTCTCTAGATTGAGACCTAACCATAATTTTATCAAGACCATAGACAGATACCCGCACTGTCCCACGAACCCGGCCACATGACCCAAAACAGGTAGGTTCATGGTCCATATCGCTTAATATCTGACCTAAATTGTAACTCAAACTCCAAATAAATACTAGTCAACTATGTGTACATAAATGTACAATTATATATTCTCATATAATAAAGAAAGTGATCATATGAAAAACGAACCACAACCCAAGCAGCGTACTAACTAAGGCTAACTCCATAGCACCGCGAATCGACCCACGATCCAGACATTGATCTCGGCCCATGTAAACTTTAATCTCCCCACACCCCATCATAGCATCAGTCTCACCTCTACCCCATCATAGAAACTCTTTCTTTTGTGGCAGTAATTGCACATGACCAAATCATCTTACCCTCTCTAATAACAAATTTGTAATTACTCAAGTGGAAATTAATTTGACTCCATAAAGGAAAGTGCTGACCATACCTTGAGTCCTTTTAATACAAGCCGTCAAGAAGTCCAAATTATTAGAATAATTGAATGCTCGATTCCAATCAGCTTCCCTGTTCAAGTCAAAAAATAAATATCCCATTAACTGAAACTAGAATTGTCAAAATTTAGCTCTTTTTTTGCTGAATTTTCTCAGGAACAAAACAGCATACGACTTACGGATTCTGAATGCAGAAGCTAGATCGATTGCTGACTTCGCTACTGAGAATAACTGAAGTGAGATTCGAAAGCCGACCGTACACCACCTGTGTGAGGTACGGAAGAATCGCAGGGTTGTTGACATTGTCTTCGACGTTTTGGCACTGTACGAACCGCACCAAGCTCAATTGCGCCAAAATTAATGGGGCAATGGTAGCCGCCAATGTGAGCATCCTCCTCCTCTCTCTGTTTGTACTCATATTTAGCAGCAGAATATGATCATGGAAGTGCTGGTAGCGGCGGCGGTGTTGGTAGTGGTGGTGCTGGCGGTGAATTTTAAGAGGTGAGGAGCTGAGAAAGTGGGAAATTCCAGGTCAATACTACTCCTGGGGGGAGAGAGAGAGAGAGAGATGACAGACGAAGAAGAGAGGAGAGAAGGTCAAATGCAGGAGTGTGGAGCCCCGTAAGAACACGTCCTAACCTCCTGCCGGCACGGAGACAAAACTTGTTTCGCTGTGTATGACTGGGTGCTCTCTTTTTTTATGACAAATTACACTCCGACTCCCTCAATTATGGCCTTAATCTCAATTTATCTTTTAAATTATTGAATTTCATACATTATAATTATACCTTAAACTATTAATTAGCATCTTTTTAGAATCAAATGTCAACATTCTAAGACAAAGTGAAACAATATCACATAATTCGTGGGCAAAGGTAAACTACTCTCTTAAATTTGTGACAAACATTGATTATCTGAGGCAAATGAGATTAATAACAAAACTTGAAGGTGCAATATGAAAGGGTTAAAATAAAATTGTGCAATGCTTTTCATTTGTTCCGGAATCTAATTCTTCAACATAAACTAGGATTCTTTTGTCTTTCAGGTAAGTTTTTAAGGAAAATTAGCAACAACAATGGACAATTCACAATAAATTTTTTTTGTTTTTTCCCTTTTGGTGAAGTCCAAATGGAGAAAGGACAAATAAACCAAATTCAATTGACAGCATAACAGAATAATTAAGAGATCTGAATGCCAAATCCAACAACATCGTCTCGATGTAGAATTCAGTGAAATTTGATCACTTTTCTTTTCTTTTTTTTCTTATTATCCTAGCCCAAAAAAATGGACTTTTTTATAATTATAAAACACATAACGTAAATTCCCAACATGCATAATTACCCATAAATCGATAATAAAGTGCAAACCATCTTTACCGTACCTTTTTTCAAATCTAAATTTAAATTTGAATTAACAACTCCTATAAATATTTTTCAATATTAGACTCATATTCATATCAAATGAAGATAGACTCATTTTTTTATTCAAATCAAGAGAGATTCAGATCAAAACTCAAATTTTAATGGTGATTACACCATCTTTGGAAGATTTAATAAACATATTTTATCCTATTTTAAATTTAAATTTGTCCTCATTTAAATTTAAGTTTTTCCATTGGAGAGATCTATACCAAATCAAGTTTTTTACCCTTTTTTAACTCAAATTTAAATAAGAGTTTGAGTTTCCATTGAAATGGTCTTAGACATTTTAGAATTAATTACACTGGAGGTCCTCAAAGTATAGAATTGATCTCATTTAATTCACAACGTTTTAATTACATTATTTTAGTCTCTAAAATATTGAATATATTTTATATGGTCCCTCAAGTAGACAACACCTAGATTGCTAACATTTTTTTATCATAAACTTGTCACGTAATACCTAAATATGGATAAAAAAAAAATAATTTTATAGCTTTTAAACAAAATTTGAATAGCTTTTGACAAAAAATGTGTAATATGGGTAGTTTTTTACTAAAATTTGAATAGCGTATGATCAAAATTATGTAATTTTGGTAGCTATTTAACCAAAATATGAGTAAAAATTTGGTCAAAAGTTATCTAAATTATTTTTTTGTTCATATTTAAGTATCACATGATAAATTTATAACAAAAAATCGTTAGCAATCTAAACGATGTCTACTTAAAGGACCATATAGAAATATATTCAATATTTTAGAGACCAAAATGATGCAATTGAAATATTAAGGATCAAAATAAGATAAATCTCATACTTTGAGGACCTTCAGTACAATTAATCCAACATTTTAATTGAAAGAGTCTTCTAATTTTGTTTAATGTGTCTTGGGTACGAATAGGGGCGTAGCTAGAGTTGTGGGGTTTGAAACTAATCTCATATTGATTGGGTAAGAAACATTAGATGAGCATATATTTCTCAAGTTTGCTTTATAAATTGGGCCACAAAGGGTACTGCAATTTTGTGGACATGTGAGGACCTACTTGGACTTCAGTTCGGCCACACATGTGCGCCACCATCGCTTTCCCCATTTGGGTTGGGCCCCGAGTGCTGTTTAAATTCAATCTTATATTTTAGACAAAATTCATTTGTCAAATTTAATCCAATACTTAACCCGATTTTAATTTCTATCCGTTGAAATTAAAATTTTGTATTGGTTCGGATTTGAATTTTTCCTCTGGTCCGAATTTGAATTTCGTGTTAGTTCATTATTAGGCAGACTTGAATAGTGTCTTTTGGATTGCTTTGTGTTTTTTAGGTTGCATCAGTTTGCATGGTAGTTATCCGGAACAGTCAGCATTTTGTTCATAAATAACCCTGATTCATTAGTATTCTAAACTTATAAGATTGCGAATTAAGGTAGTCGTTATATTCATCATTTTTGCGATTAAGACTATATTTTGAGAGTACACAACATGATTTTTGGTTTGTTAGGCAATTAGATTGGAGTGTTACTTCTAATTACGTGAAGATCATTAAATCCTAGAAAATAGACGTTAAGATTTCCAAAAAATTCAGTATGAGCATGAAATCTATCTTAAGAACATAGTATCAAACACTAATTTTGATCTATAAAATTTAATCTTCGTTTTTGGTCTACAAACAGGTCAATTTATTTATTACAGTTTTACATATTATTATTTATTCTTTGATGTTACTATTTTGTTCTTAATAACATAAGCGGATTTATCTGTTTTTTGTTTATTATATTTGTACGTTTAATATCATTCCAAAAATTTAATAAATAATTTTACCATATTGTATAATCCACACCAACAATTTTAAGTTGTTTGCAAGTCTCTTCAAACTCAGATTGGCATTCTAGTTGTTAAAAATGGAGCAATTATGGGGATGAAGATAACATTTTTTTCCCAAATTATTCTTATTAAGTAGTAATTTGAAAAGTCGTTCAATTTTATAGAGTTGAAGTATTCAACCAGACTCCAAGAAAATGTTGACTAATAACATGAAATTACTTATGAATAAGTCGTGGATGTACTCAATCTATTTGATGAAATGCTTATTTGAGTCCTATGATCTGAAATCACCTAATCTTGTCATTGTCAAATAACTATAAAAGGTGAATCCTATTGTCAAATAAACTATAAACACAGTGTGAAGTAGCTATCTCTCTCCTCCTTTGGTCTAAGTCGTCAATTGCAGGAAAGATGGCGATGCCAATGCGTGAAACAACTCTCTCTCTCTCTCTCTCTCTCTCTCTCTCGGTTTTCCTTGTCTTGGTGCGAGTTGTTACCAAGAAGCTCCGTCTCCTAGATTTATAGCTTAGATTATTGGAAAAAATTTCTAATTTAAATCAAAACTGAATTTTGCCTAATCAATTTTGACATATCAGTTGCCGTATTATTTGGTCTCTTATTTTGGTCCCTTAATTTGGTCAATGTAATATTATTCAACGAATAAAATGTTAATGAAGCCACAGAGACACACTCTAGCTCCAACTCTTCTTTATGTGATAGGCATGAGGACTAGCATTACTTTGAACTTCTTGATAAGATTTATTTATAATCTAGTTATTTTAAACTTCCTGATAAGGTTATTTGTAAACTAATCTTCTTATCTTGTAAAAAAATATTGGTTCAGAATTCTACTATAGGCTTGTTAATCCAAGAAGAATATCAATCTTAAAAGCTTCAATTGATTTGTTTTTTCCTAAGAATACCAACGAATTAGAAAAGTGATACAAGCCACCACTATAATATTATTGATCAAAAACTGCTTAGCCTAAGACTTACAAGAGTATAAATAGTACTAAAACTCTAAAACTAATTAGGAAATAACAAAACATGTCCTAATTATCACTAATCACGTAATTAGGCCAATATTATAGATTTTGCTAAAAAAGGAAAGTTCCAAACTAATTATATGACTTAAAATTACTAATCACCCATATTAAGGCAGCACTGACGACAATTAATTTTGACTTAAAACTATGAAGTTATTCAACTGTAAAAAATTATCAAAAATGGCAAAAACGTGTTTTTCAGATCCTAAATGAAGGAATTTACTTGAAATTCATCCTGGGTCATTGCATCCCACGTTAGGGTTTCCATGAGTTCATTTTGCTTCATCGTTTTCGGACTGGACATGGTTGTTTCAAGATTCAAGTATATGGAAGTGCCTCCTAAAAAGTCAACCTATTTGACCAATCTGATCTATCTCTATTTTAATCCCAGCAATTCGTGTACTGTGATGCAATCCGATCTGCATTAGGAACTTAGCCAAATTAAAAGGTGAAGCTGGGTCTGGATCCTCTTAATTTCAAAAATGGTCAATCTTGATCTAGTTGGTGGTTCCTAATAAACAAATCAACTGGCCTGGATTAATTGACTACCTTTATGCACTCAAGATTCATTTAACTACGAGGTTAAAGAGTCAACTCTTGTCGAAGGCAAAAACTAATTTCTCGCATACTTTTTTTTGAGATTTTATTGTGTCATTCTTTTGGGATTCTCTTCACCTTTCGGTTGGTTCTTACTTATCTACCCTAGATGCATTGTTAAAAAGTTCTAATTGATGACTATTCATTGTAATAGTGATTTATAGATGTATTAGTCATTGTTTGTACCTGAAAGCACTATGTAACACAAAAAAATAAAGACTGATTGTGCAATATACATATTTCTAATCTGTAATTTATTTTTTTATTTATTTCTAAAATTACACAATTTCAAATAAATTAAATTCCTTCCTTTTTCTCTTCTCTAATTTTTCACCTCTCTCCAACCGCACCAAATTCAACTCAAGAATGATCAATCTAGAATGCTTATTATAAAGAATTCAATCCAAACAATATAAACATATATCATAACCCAAACCACAACATAATATCAAATCAAGAAAACCATAACCTAATCAAATTAGATTTATTGAACATCCCACCCTTAAATAATGCAA